AACCAATCCCCACTCACCACTCCCCGCCCAACCCCACCAACACAGACTATCAAATAACTTGATAAATTTACGTTTCTTCTCACCAAGAAGATCTTTCAAATTTTCGATTGACAACGCTACGTCATACGTGTCATTGCTTTATTTACCGTACGTGCATTATTGAGCTTAAATTGTCTTTTAGTCGTTAAGAAGTCGGGCGGCTCGCATCGAGCATTGCATAAATTAAGAAAAGAAATATAATACTTTCCCATAATTAGCATTATCGATGCGCCGCAGCATAATGCATTATGTTGGAGCGAGCAAGGAAGGATCAGTAATTTGTTATTCGGAAATAAACAGGAACGTTGGGAATATTATTCAACCATTATGCATCGACAATATTTATCCAAACCGCTAAATCCTTAAGTTCATTTATGAATGAATTGTTTTGTTAGAGCGAGACGAAATTCCACACCCCGTATTTTTCACTCGTTTGGCAAATTTATTTATTACCTCGTCGTGCTTCCGATTGGCATATTTTGTCGCACACCTTATTTTAATCGCCACTCGCCATTTATATAACTTTGACACAATAGCCAACTTTTACTATTAATCCCGAGTCTATTATAAAGCCTTTATTTATTACTAATTCTCGTAATCGGTAATGCGTTAATAATTAACTTATTAACAATGTATGTTGAGAAGAAGGTTTCAGCGAGTATTTATCTTATTTTTGAACGACAACAATTTTTCAATGAGCACAAGTCAGTTGTAATTAATTAAACGAGTCTCGCACGACTGATTAAACTTATTAGCAAATTGTCCTATATAAGAACGAGGCTACGACGATACACGTTTAATCAAAAATATTTTAACTTTTGCACTTTGCCAGCGCTCGACTAACTTAAAAATACAAAATCCGTCGACGACGTTCCCCTCTCATAAATTTTAATTTCAAATAGCGAGCGACGTCTTCTTGCATTAACAATTTTCCCAAGAAACATCCACAAGCCCAACAATGAAATCGTCCTGCCGCGAAATTTACGTAGAAGTAGGAATAAACGATGCGAGAACTACAAGAGCAATCCACCTACAACAACAAGCCATGAATTTTCTTTCCACCTGCCCTCTCGGCCCAGCTCGATCCCCGCGCATTCGTCGTACTTTCTCATTTCCCTCCATACGCGTTGTTTTCCTTTCGGTCGCTTCCCCCGCGTTCCGCGCGTTATCCATTCGACGCTCTCGATCAAATTAAGGCGGTGACACGCACGCACGCACGTACGCACGCACGCACGCACGCACGCACGCACGCACGCATACAGAGACGACTGGAGCTAAGGTTAGGCCTACGGCGGTGGCAACGACAACGAGGAGGACGATAATGAAGATGAGAATGAGGATGAGGATGAGGATGAGGATGAGGAAAGCACCCGTGACCATCAAGTCAACCGGTTGACGACGATGACGGCGGTGACGGCGGTGAAGCGGTGCTCGGTCATTGCACATGCTTCGTCTCGCTCTAACCAATGTACGCGGCGCTCGTAACACGTTTCACCGTGCGCTGCACTCTCTCTCAACCGAAACAGACCGACCGAACGACCGAACGACCGAACGACCGAGGGAGCGAGCGAGTGAGCGACCGACCGACCGACCGAGATAGATAGATTGATAGTTGTACAAAGCGACGGGGTGGGGGGCGGGTGCATAGAGGACGACGATGAGGTGGAGGAGGAGGATGATGAGGATGATGATGATGAGGATGATGATGATGATGATGATGAGGAGGAGGAGAAGGAGGAAGGAGGTGGTAGTAGTAGTAGTAGTAGTAGTAGTAGTAGTAGTAGTAGTAGTAGTAGTAGTAGAGTGGGATTGCGGTGCGGCGGGAGAAAACGAACGCACCGCCACTGCGTTGTATACCATTAGTAGTATTAGCGTGTGCGTGAGCGCGCGCGGGAGAGTGAACGACGTGGTAAAAGAGAAGGGGGCTCGCTTATCCTGTGCTAGAGCGGGAGAGAGCCTGTGTGCAAGCGAGAGCACACTCGTGGTCGGACGCGGCGGGGCTGAGGGGATGTGTTTTGCGGGCCGGCGGGAGGCGACGGTGAAGGGAGAGGAACAGCCCGAGCGCCTTTAGCGGCGCGTTCGCGCCGCGCCAGTGGAATTCGCCCGTCCTCGTAGTCGTCGTGTGTACGTCCATGAGAGCGCCGTCGGTCGGTCGGTCGGTCGGTCGGTCGGTTGGTTGGTTGGTTGGTTGGTTGGTTGGTGTAGGGCCGCAGCAGCGAGCGATTTAACTCGACCGTTGTTGTCCTCGTCGCGGGCTTGACGTCTGTTCGTAACGTACGTTGGCGTGGAAGTGGAAGGAAGGATTGTAAAATGTGGCGACGCGTTGAGGCTGGCTGGACTTGAGGTGAGCGGCATCGTCGTCGGCGCTTATCCTCACTCAGTGCGCGCCGCCGTGAGTGCAAAACGGGCGCGAGTTTTGCGCCCGTGTGTGTCTCTAACAGTGCGCGCGTGTGAGGGAGCGAGACGAGGAGATGGATACCTTCGGCGGCATGTACCAAGTGAGTGTCGACTCCTCGCTATCTATGTTCTTTCATTGCTATCGTTATTATTATCGCTGTGCTCGTCGTCATCATCGTTGGTGTTGTTGTTGTTGTTATTATTATTATTATGATTATTGTTGTTGTTGTTGCTGATGATCGCCTATGTTTGGCCGATAACGACGTAAAGGGAAAGGTGACGAAGGAGGAGGAGGAGGAGGAGGAGGTGGTGGTGGAGGTGGGTGGAGGTGACGGAGACGAAGGAGGGCAGCGTCACTTTGAAGCATGAGAACGCTATTGTCGTCTCTCTCGTATGTTCTGCCACTGTCGTCGCTCCCACTGTCTCTCCTCTCTCTCTCTCTCTCTCTCTCTCTCTCTCTCTCTCTTTCACGCTCAGATCGAGCATTAATTTTCATGGCCGCCGCCGAACGGGCCCCTAGCAAAAGACGAGGCGAGAGGAGTCGGTGCGGCGGCTGCGAGAGAGAGAGAGAGAGAGAGAGAGAGAG